TCGATTGGGATCGTGCCTCGCGGCCGCGCCCTGCTGACCCTCGCCTAGCCGGCGGCGTAACCTCGTTGCAGAGACCACGCTCGGAACTTTGCATACCGGTCGCTTTCTCTATGCTTGCAGGCACGAAGCCAGCCTTCGTTTCGTTCGTTTGCGAAGGATCGGGAAAAAAACGGAAGGACGATTGGTTAATCGCGTCACGAAAGGCGGACGACGGAACGAGCGAGCCGGCTAACGAAGCAACGAAGCTAAGGAACGTTTCTGCACGGAGGAGCGAATGGTTCGGCGGCGCGACGGGTTCAAGGTACCAGGAATTGCAGGGGATTCGCTTCTGGGCGTAGTTTGACCCAAATCTCGAAGGCAACTTACCACGATTGCCCGAACGACCGTTCGACCCCGAACCGGCGACTATTCGAGCCGAGAACACACCGAGTCCTCTCCTTTGTGGAACTAGAGCACGCTGGTGTGCACGAACGAAAGCAAAGCGCGAGAGAGACGAAAGGGGAGAGAAAAAAATAGAGACGTTGGATGGAGGACGCGTGCGTGCGCGAACTTAGATAGCCGACGCATCGCTCGTCTCGGATAAACGGTAAATTACCAGCACTCCGCTTTCCAATTAGTCTTCAATTACACGCGGACGAGCCGGCCGACGACGGCACGCGTCCCTGCGACGTTTAACTGCTAAACGACCGAGTCGTCGTCTTCGCGTTAGCCGTCTCGCAATTAGTTCGGGGAAAAGTTTGCCCCGCGAATTCGTCCGCTCGATTGTCCCATCGCGCCGCGCGGAATTTCGATGCCGGAGCGGAACCGGTCGGTCGAAAGATCGATCGTGGCGAGGAACGATAATACACCGGGAGAGGATTTATCGGATAGCGAGACCGTGGAATATGCAGTCGCGAGCCTCGCGAGCTATTCTATCTTTGCACAATTAAATATTTACGTAACGTCCGCGCAAGATGGCGGCCAGTCGTTCCAACGACGCGCGTTCCATTTACCTTCTGGCTCACGCGACTGCCTTATTCGAAAAACGTTACGACTTTTCTGCTATTTCTCTCCGTTTTTTCTCTTTTTCCTCGTCTCGGTGCCGTTTGAAACATTGCTCGGTGTCGTATCGGAGGAAACGATCGATGAACATCGTTGCGAACAGATTCCGCGATACTCGAATCGCCGTGATCGAAACTCGCGGATAAAGCAACCACTCTCGTCTTATTATTCCCAGTGCCGCTTAATCGCGGATACTTCCGCGACTCTATTATTCGCAATAACGATACAACGTATGCCGATGACCTTCGATACTCCGTGCGTGACGATTCGCGAGATTTCGTTCCGTCACGTGTTCCTCCTGCTAATCGAGCATGTACGACATTGCGAGCGCGCTCGATCCAGCCGTGACAACGCGGCGCGACGATCGTTACCGATCCTCGGGATCCCTGAATCGCGCGAGGAAAGGTCCGATCGATCGATCGAGCGAGTCTCGCGGTACTAGGAAATGGAGCGAAATTAACGCTCGCAATTATCGCCGACAGCTGGCTCGAGAGCGAGCGTTTCTACGTGTCGACCGACTTTGCTAACTGGATTACGCGCCGTTCGTGTTTCACGCCGGATCGTTCCGTTCGCTTTGTTTCCCCGCTCGAACGGCAATCCGGGAAATCGTTCTCGAGGCCGATCGGCTCGCGATCGCACGCGTGCGTATGTGGAAAAGCGCGCGAGTCCGAACGAATCGCAGACGCCCGTTGCGTGAGCATAAATTTCCTCGAACTGCCTCCATTTCTTTTCGATATGGGCGGATACGATACGGAATATTTTCGAGACGCGGGCGAGAAAGCAGTCTTCCTCTGAACGGAACAAGCTTCGAGGAATTTTTCCCAGACGCCGAATTCCTCGCGTCGAGTCTGCCGCGATCGTTCGATCGAAGATCGGTTAAAAAATTCCTCCTTATCGCCTTCGTCGTCCGACTTTCTAATTTTTCCCGCGATCCCAGTGTAAACAGTTTTCAATATCACTCTGCTTATTCGTTCTCTCCCGATACTCCTATTATGTAAACCATTTTATCTACCGAGACGAGTCGCTTGACCGGTCAGATGGCCGGTCGCGATAGGATCGGTGCTAACGAATATACGCGAGCGCGAAGCTACGTTTCCGAGCGAGCGAAGCAGGAAACGGAATAACGAGGATTACGTCGAGCGCGGTAATTATAAATTACGACTCAAAGGTGAAGGTGAGCGGAGCGAAAAAGAATTCGAGTGGTTCGTCCGCTTCCGCGCCACGCTGACGTTCGAGCAGACGATACGACTGCAACTCGAAGTCGATAGGCGCGA